TGTTTAGGATTTTAAAGTCAGCAAAACACATCTGTGTTATTTGCATGCTGAGGTGTCTATTAGCACTTCTGAGTAGTCTACACCATCATAACTTGATTCCAGTAAGTACTTTAATAAGTAAATAATTGATCCATGTAAATGCCAGTCTACATGATTGGTTAGAAAGTGCTAAAGCACAGCTGTAGATGATTCAGTTCTTCATTGATGAACTTCCAGCCAATCCATCACTGAATAGAATATTGAAGAATGGAAAAGAAAATCTGGTGTATATTTTTAACCATCCCTGTTAGTCATAAGCTCTGGATTTGCACACAAACTTACTTGAGTCTTAAAAAATTCAATTCTGATATTTTTTAAATGCATCTTAATATTATTAGCTTAGTTCTTGCAGAGATGGAAGAGCAATATTTTGGATTTACTCTACAGCAGAAAGAGTCATTTTATGTGAGTGTTTCTTCATACAGAAATCAATCAATCAATTAATATTATTTGTGTGCAGAGGAAATAAGGGCATCAGGAATTACCACAAACTAGAAATTTTATGTGTTAATTACCCAGAAGAGAGAATGTATTTATGTGGAAGGGCATTCAAATGTGAGCATAATCTGCTCTACTATTATTCCTATATGAAATAATATGGTAAAAAATAGTTTAGCTTTTCTTCTTGCATAGTTATTTTAATCATAGAAAATGCCATAGCTGTTTACATTCAGAATGCATTATAACATACAAAGGTTTTCTACAGATCTTTATTTAATTTACATAACTATAAATCTACATTGTATACATTTACATTTCTTGGACACACACATTTTCCTGTTACATACTTTTTAAATACAAATTTTCTTAATGAAAGCTCTCTTTTAAACTACAATTACTGCTCTTTGCACCCAGATACACTATATCTTTCCAGACACATTTTTCATGGATTTTTGATTGGGAAAGTTAAAGATTAGAGAGCCTAGCTTGATGCCAACATTTACTTCATTGCAAAATCTGATTGAAACACAATGCTCAGATTCACTTCTAGAGAAATTTCTGGTAGCATTCTTCTACAGCCTTATTCAAGACACAGGATACAGAGTTAGTAAGATCTAAACCAGAAATACAATAAAGATGTGTGATGTGACTAACAATGGAAAACTGTCAGCATTTTATATGGAAAGTGTGCTTCGTGGTGGGAGTAGGAATTCTCCACTGCAGCCAATGACAGCAGGGATGGGAACTTTGGCTGCTGCCGATTGGCTAATGCACTCTCCAACACTCTATGGCTTGGAGGGTTGTTGCTTTTTTTTTTTTTTTTTAAAGGAAGCCAGTCATTAGAAGTTAGAATATTCAAAATAATGTGTGTTTTATTCAAAGTTTAGAACACTTGAAACAATCATTTTGGTATCAAACTCTCTGTTTTGGTATCCAACTACCCAGCTTGTGTCAAAGCGCATGAATTTGTCATAGATTATTGACAGATTGAAAGTATTATTATCCTGCTATTCGGCCAAAATGGCTTTCAGAGTGACTTACAATAAGTTGTGTTTTTTTAAAAGACAGCCCCTCTCTGCCAGCCTGCAGTCTAAAAGTCATAGCACAAAATGGATAGGGGAAAAGAGAAAGAGGGGAGGAGGTAGTGAACAGTCTACAGCACCAGCTCCTGAAGTGAAATAGTCACTATGTAATTGATAGTTGGTTATAGTTCAGGAAAAGAGGGGGTTTGAAGCTGGTCTTTCCACAGGGCTCTCTCTGATTGCCACTTCATCCCCTCTGGTTCTAATCCAAGGCTGTCTGGTAATGCAAAGGGCCATATTTGCCCTGGAAAAGGCAACACTGAATAGAAGATAATCCACCATCATTGGGATTGAGACTGGGATTGGGATTGGGATTGAGACTGGGATTGGGAGAGGAGAGGAGAGATAACCAGGCACAAGAGATTACATGGGGAATGTAATGAGGAAGATGAAGGAGAGAAGGGGGAAAAGGTAACTGGACAGGAAAGAAAAGGAACAGTTTGCCCTCCACATATAGAGAGTATCTGAAATGAGGAAGGAGAGAGTAAAAGGCAGCTCTTGAGCCTCTTCTTTACTGTAATGATTACTGGAGAGATCTGCTTCTGCTTGAATTCAGTTCCACCCAGACTGTTCCTCTCACCGTTTGCAGAGAGTCCTGCAAAAGCTTAGGCGGCTGGCTTGAACAGTAATTCCAGCTGTTGCAGCCTTTTGCTGGGCTTCAACCCCCACCAGGGGCTCTGAACAGTCTCAGAGCGTTCTCTCGCTATGAAACGCCACTTTCATCACTTTGCACATCTGAGTTTATTGGCGCTGCAGCCATGCCTGTGCTTGTGTAATATATTTTTCAGCTACATTCTTGGATCTGGATATTGGAACATCCCAACTCCCTCCACTCAAAATGCTGTCCTTCGGAAGGAATGGCTTCCCATGAGTTACAGCTGTATGTGCATTCTCCTTCAAAGGAGAAAACGGCTGTCATTGCCATATTTGTATAATTGAAGAAACAATGTGTGTTTGCTTGGATCACAGATACTTTCAAATATTTATGGTAAGTACAGGAAGAGCTGCACATGAGACAGTTGACAGGCCTGCCTCAAATACAATGATTGCTGGCAGAAAAGCTTCCCTTTGTGCTGGAAAATACAGTCCTTTTTTTCGTCCTGTAGAAGGAGGGATCCTCAAACATTTCCATCCTCTAATTGTATTTCTTGGGATTCACATGAATCCCAGGTTTCTTCATCAGTTACCACCCTAATCTTCATCCATCCATAGATGAAAATAGTTTTCTGACAGCACAATTCTATATGCCCTCACTCAGAAACTGGCATTTTTACAGCAAAGTCTATGTTGCATTGTGGCCTGAATTCCTTAGCATTCATTTTACCTATACAAGAAACGTTACTCTTCCTCGTTTACCCTCAAGCCAGCAAATAGCCATTGGAAGCTGATATGATGTGCTTAACTGAAACATGATAAGGCAAGAAGATCTGCTCTTTTTGAGTGAAGCAGCTAGTTTTAAAAAACAGAAAAGAAAAAGGTCCAGCATTTCAGTGGTCCAGTGGTGGACTGATGTCAGAGTAGACCATTCCCAAGTATCACTGCTACTAATACTATGAGTCAGATAGTAACTGATCCTAGACTTGCACCTTAAGTATTATACCACATTGACTCACTGCTAATCTGATTTTTCACTTCATTGGCAGTCTAGGAAAATCCTTGTTGTTTCTGTGAAAAAGATAAGAAGATATTTGTACCCAGGGCTTGGCCATAAACACTGAATTGGGTGAGGTCTTATGTGTGGAACCTAAATGTACATAGGTAGCAAGCAAGGTATTCAGTTGTGCTTTTTAATTCCCATCCAAGATTATCAGCCAACTAGATGCCAGGCTTTCCCCACACACCTACTTATTCAGTAACTACTTACTAAAGCTCTAGTTTTTGTTCTCACCCAGTTGACCATGTGAAAGTTCAGATCATTTGGCAATGATTTCACAGGAATCAGCATATTCTATGGTTTTACTGGGATATGTTGAACTCCCTCTTAAAACTCTGAGTAGACTCTGTGTTTCTAAGATGGTAAAGAAGCAGTACACCTGGATTTGAATTGACCATCACATAGCTAGAGCTACTTTTTGAACTAAGTCTAATGTTCTTGGCTATAACTTAAGTATGCAGAGGGCCTAAACATTCCTATTTATCTAGTCATGGTCAGCCTCTGTGATTCAGCAACTCCTTTCATTCCTGATCCCATCAAAGGAACTTTCAAATACTTTCTAGGAGAAAATGAATGAATGAATGAATGAATGAATGAATGAATGAATGAATGAATGAATGAAATTTTAGCCTCAGTTATGTTAATTGTACATTGTCTGTATAAATTAACTTCTCAGATGATGTTCAGTTTCTGAATATGTCATGATCTGGAACTCTTTATTGCCAACTGGCATGTTTTTGACAACTTATCTTTCTTACAAACATGGGGGGGGGTTCATTAATAAACTCAGAATTTGAAATATGTACGTACTAAGTAAACTGAATTGGAACTATGAAACACTTTCAGCTAATTGAAAAGAGGTATTTCCATTTACAGGTAGTCCTCACCAACTGCAATGGGGACCAGCAACTCTGTCACTACGTGACATGGTCATAAAGTGAAACGTCACGTGACCAAGCCAACTTATGACATCAGTTCTGGCTGTGGTCATTAAGCGAATCACCCGCAGTTGTTAACTGTGATGTCATGTAAGTGTGACTTGCAACTTCCTGCCGGCTTTCCCATTGACTTTGCTTGTTGGAAGCCAGCTGTGAAGGTTGCAAAGGGGATGCTGTGACCACTGTAAATGCGCACCAGTTGCCAAGCACCTGAATCGCAATCACATGACTGTGATGGCTGCAACTTTGAGGACTGGTTGAAAATCTCCTTTTTCAGTGCTGTCATAACTTTGAATGGTCACTGAACAAGTGGTCAATAAATGAGGACTACCTGTATGTGTATGTGGGGGGGGGGGGAACCCATTAAATACTGAATACAGAATGCAGAGGCCAAATGCTACCTTAGTTTGTAACAGAAAACTTTGAACTGAATATCCTAAATGAACCAGTGGTTGAATTGGGTGGTATTGAGGCTACAACACCCAGAGCTTATTCAAGATGTGATTTACTAAGCTCAAGTCCAAGGGGAGAAATATTCTGGGAGAGGTGAGGGCAAAGAATAGGAGAGGCCACTTTGCCCAAATTTGGTTATTGGTTTCATTGGAAGATAGTTGGGATGTCAGTAAAAATGTGCAGTAAATAGCTTCCCAACTACCATTAGCTGGAAGAAAAAAAGTCTCCTTATGAACGTCAGTGAGATATTTTACAGTGATGACACTACACTCTATTTGTTATAAAACAAACAAAAACAAAAACAAACTCAGCATCTTTATTATATGTACATGGTTTACAGATATCAAATTTCAACAGGAATATTTAACTGACAGTATCTCAATTTCTTTTCAGATCTAAAACTGGTGCTTTGAAAAGCTAACCAACTCATAACCAAACAAAATGAGGAAGTATCACCATTTGATCTTTGCAACAATCTGTTGTCTTTTACTCTCAGGCAATCATGAGGCTGAGGCACAGGTGAAAGGTAAGTTTTTTCTACCTTTAAATGGTTCAGTATTTAAAAATGCAAGATTTGTCCCAAGTTCTCCTTGGAAATTTTGAAGGGAAAAATATATTGCTGTTGTATATTGCTGTTGTACCAATCACCAATGTCTATCCTTGAACCTTTGCTGTGTGAACATAGACATATTTACTGTATGTAGCACATCTCTTGCACTCTGCTGTATCTACCCTCTTCATCCTCATACAACAGCTCTGCTGGTATAGATCTATGTCTGTTGGGATACACATACAGCATGGGAAAAATGGGGATTTTTTTGGCAACAGATGCCAACTTTCATATTTTACATTTCTAAAGAGGTAAACTTTCTTTTTCCAAGGGTACACATGATTGATTTTGAGCTAGATTCTTCTTTTCTGCAGTGAGGAATTAAGTAATATTACAAAATATTTGGGAAATATTACACATTGTACAATTTTCAATTAATTTTAATCAGACTTTTCTACTGATGAACAAAAACAGCATCATGTTCTTATAATATTGGTACTATACAAAAGTATTTAATATGAGCCAGAGTAAAAAAAAATGCAGAATTAGTAACAATTTACCTCAAATAAACTTGTTTTAAAAAATCTGAAAATTTCCACAAAAGCCAACTCCTCCAAGCTGCCCCTAAACTCTTTCCATTAGCACCATCCCCAAAAGCCTCCATTATTCCCTAGAGGCACCTGCCAGGCAGAGTATGGGGCAGAGAAGGAAATATGTTCCTTCATTTCTTCCCTCTTTGTTTCACTGACCTGCTGGACAGCAATTAAGACACAAAATACAGGGAACAGAAGGAGGGACTCTTCTCCAAAAAGGGATCGCACTTCTAGGTCATGGTGAAAATCAGTTACTGAGTATGCTACAAGTAGCTGAGTTCTCATAAAATGCCAAGCCATATGGCTTACAACCCCCAGTGGTTAGTTTCATGCAGGAAACTAAGCCAAAACCAATGGCTTTACAGGATGTGTGAACTAGGTGAGAGAGAGAGTGAGGAGAGAAGCAGAAAATCTCCTACCATTCCTTCCGGAGGTGGGTGATCCTGTTCAGTGGAAACCCATGTACTGTACAGTTGGGTACATTCCATGCTGTCCAAGCTGACCGCCTCCAACCTGAAAGAAGAAAGAACTGAGAGAATTCCTCTCTTCTTGTCTCCTGCTGCTGGGAAGCAAGAAGGGGCTGAGGAATCTCAAACCTCAGACCTTTGGTTGGCACTGGAAAATTATCTAGCTTCTTTTGCCCCCTTCCCCCAGAAGCACGGATTAGTCCAAACAGCATTTAAGAGAGATGCACTCTGCATGGTGCAGTTTGTGACTTGAGTTGACCGAGCCTTTGCATGGTCTTTCCTACAGGGCTAGTCCCTGGATGACTTGGTATTAAGATCAGAGCATATTAATGCATCACTTCAGTTGTCACAAATTTAGCCAGTAAAATTAATAGTCAATGTATTCCTCAATGAACTATTGAGTCAATATATTTTTAATATACTTTATAGTCTGTGAGGTCCCTGTGGAAGAAACTAAGTACATAACAGCATGGTTGCTTTCCCTTACCTAGGCAAGGAAATCATACTAAAATCATACCACAACCAGAAAATATTGCAGTGGGAACAATTCTAGCTTAGCAAGGAAAAGGCATTTCTGCAAGCTGCTTTAAGGAGTAAAATTGCCACATCACTCAGTGTTTGTTCAACAAGAATAATTGCCAGGGTTGGAATAGTCTTCCATCTGCCCCAGTGTAAATGAACTCAATGTTGTTGGTGATACGAAAGAAGGGCTGTTAATGTAGGACAAGATCTTCCCCCCCACCATGACCTCTGGAAAATCATAAATCAATGTGTTTTTTTAAAGATGGCAAAATCGGTGCTGCTGCTGATATAATATTTCTAGTGGATTCCTCTTGGAGCATTGGAAAGGAACATTTCCAACTTGTTCGGGAGTTTCTGTATGATGTTGTAAAACAATTAGAAGTGGGTGGAAATGATTTTCGGTTTGGTCTGGTCCAGTTCAGCGGAAACCCACATTCAGAGTTCCAGTTAAACACCTATCATACTTTGCAAGATGTCCTCTTCCATATTTCACACATGCCTTACATGGGGGGAGGAACCAAGACTGGACAAGGATTAGAATTCCTAATTCGGAATCATCTAACTAAAGCTGCTGGAAGCAGAGCGAGCGATGGCATCCCCCAGATTATTATAGTGTTAACGGATGGACGTTCCCAAGATGATGTGGCTCTACCATCATCTATTCTTAAATCTGCTGAGGTAAACATGTTTGCCATTGGAGTGCAGGATGCAGTGGAAGGGGAATTAAAGGAAATAGCAAGTGAACCCCTTGATATGCACCTGTTCAACCTAGAGAACTTTACTGCTCTCCACGGCATTGTAGGAGACTTAGTTGCAAGCATTCGCTCATCCATGGCTCCAGAAATGGCTGGAGTACAAGGAGGGATTAAAGACACCACAGGTAACATTTCTGCTCTGACATTGCAATATTTGTGCCTGAGGGAAATATTTGCTACTTCTCCATCATTTTAAGCACTCTGATATGTAGCGCAAGGGCGTTTCAGGGTAACAATAACCAATTAACTTTACTTCTACTGCTATACTAATATTTTCTGTCCTTATGATATGTGGCTAATGCTGAAATGGCATGCAACGGAGAGAAAGAATGCAGGAACTCAAGCTCATTTGGTTGAGATGGGTGGCTGTGGAAATTAAATATCAAATCAATAAGAAAGAAAGAAAGAAAGAAAGAAAGAAAGAAAGAAAGAAAGAAAGAA